GTAGACTAAATAACAATTACACCTCTCGCACTGATGGTCTACGGCCCTTTGCTTCATGGGCTATTGACTCGTAGACCATGAGTGACCTACTAATTTATTTTTGCTTTGTTCTGGTTTTCAAAACTTCAATTTTTAGCTACTAGTTGTCTATCAAAATTGCTCTTTTCTAGTCATTCGGAAGGGAGAGAAATAAAAGAAGAAGAGAAGAAACGGCGGCCATGTTGGTTGATATAACAAAGTAATTGATTGTCAATTCTTATGTTTAATTCAACCAAGATGGTTACTATGACGTCATGAGCATAATAGAGGTGACCGTTTATAATAAATATTGGGAGTGAGTGGGCCCCTCGATAGTGAAATTACACTTCAAACACAAAGACATTACCCCTCCCTTCCTTATATTTTAACCTTTTGATATGAGCATATGTCAAAAATCGACCAACGCCATTAGACAGAACCCCTAAAATAAACCAAATTTGCCAAGTTAGAGGGTGATGTGTTGAAAAAAAGCGAGGATATAGCTCCCTAAAGTTGCGAAATTTTACAGACGTTTGTCTGTTGCAAGGGGAGCAAGTTTGTGCCCCCACCTTACAAACGTTTGTAAAATTTCGTGACTTTGCATGGTTATATCTTTGCCTATTTCCAATATACCACTCTCAAACTTGGTATTTGCTTATTTTGAGGAGTTTTTTTCAAGCATTACCGATGGATTTTCGCTAACTAGTCCATGCAAACAATTTAAAARCATACTCGTGGAAAGGTCTATCTTCCCTAAGAAAATTCCTTCTGAATTAATAAGTGGCAAAGACTTAGAAAAATATAGGCACTCGTCCTTCCGCCAACGCATGCGCAGTCCTTTCGTAAAGTGTCGTGTTCCTCGCGCGCTCGTGTCACTCACTCAAAGAGTTACGAAATCAATCATGATCGTGATACAGCTTATGGTTCGATGTATGCACGTATTCGTTAAGTGATTCCTTAACGAGACAAAAAACTACGACGTTTACATACTAAAATAAGCAGTTCTTTCAATGACATACTGTGTCCGTATGGTTGTCAAAATATGTCGATCAAGAACGAAYAGTAAAAATGATTAACGACGGAAACGTTACAAAAATCAATCCATAAAGCTGACTTCGTGATATACGTAAAGTTAATACGCTAATTTGAACAACTATTAAGCTTTTAAGYATGACGTCAATCGCAGAAAGAAAATTATGTTTCTTCCTTTTTCTTCATGAATGRATGCGTTTTCCGACGTTCTAGTTGTTCAAGGTGGAGGGAGGTTAAAGTTACTGACGACATCTTTTTTTCTTAATATTTAAAAMAGCGGATTTCGTAAGCAGTTGATCGAATCGCAAAATACTTCCCAAGGGTTTGAAACACGATGCAATGCAAAGATTACAATGTTTGATTGAAGATCAACTATAGACTTGTGTTATTAAAGGATCGAGGCACAGGATTTCCTTTACTTTCAATGATCCCCTAAGTCTATTCATCTGAAAATAAAGTCCGGCTTAGCAAGATCAACCACCCATGGCCATGCATCCTACACATGCCTTGTGTAAAGTGTCTATGACATCCAATTCAATATTTTCCGTATTGATTCTACATGAAGTGAATCGGTTAAATGTTAAAAAATATTATTTGATTGAAGCTTCTAAACATCAAGATTGTTTTTAATTCTARTAAGCTAATAAACGAATGTAATGTCATAGGAGAAATATTAGTTTATTGTCATCATTTGTAAATTGAATAACTAGTTACTCAGTAAGGAAAAAAATTTGCAATGACTTTTCTATGAGTAAGACTATGATATWTGATATCGGGATGTTTTACTGCATCAGAAAAGTTCTTATTTCATCATTTCTGAAATGCTTTTGCCACTTGCGCCTGAAATATATATTTTATTGTCACGAGTTATATCTTCATATATATATATTTCGTTGTGTTGTTTTAAATMTGTCAATTTTAGCACAGTCTAGTATACACCGCATCCTACGTCCGTRTTTTCCACCTGCATCATAAGTGTTATCCATGAACGTCATTTTATCCCAATGCGTTTTCTTTCTTTTATTTCAGTACAAACAATCGACAAGCKACAGTTTTAGATTAAATAAACCTTGTGAATTGTGTGATATTAAAAATCACTTCCGTACAATTAAACAACTGTACTTATTCTTGGGATTATTAGCGAAATAAGATCGCTTTAATTTTTGAAATGTGTCAAGTGAAATGGCTTTTTCAATAAAATCTAAAAATATAAGTGGGAATCTTAAGGTAAGTACTGACTYGCATCACGTACACACAACGGATATAGTATTAATCATAAATATATACTTATGTGTGTGTTTTGCACTTGAAAACATTGAAGAAAGAACGAAAGCTATGAGAATTAGATATACTAATGCGATAATCATTCGTTCTTTACTGAGAAGAATAAAACGAATTTCGTATAAGTGGGAAAACTTATACSACGTGTTCGTACGTAGGGGGCGTACTGTAGTAGGTTTATAGTTAGCACACTTTTATTGTCTCTTCACACAAACTCACAAAAAATGATAACCATGTTAATATACGTTTTCTGAAACGGAACATGGAATTTGCTTGAGACAACAGTGTTGGCAATATTACAAATGAAAAAATAAGTCTTCAGACTTCAGATTTTAGAAGTCTTCAGAAGTCTTCAGTCTCAGATTTATAGAAAAAAAAAGAAAAAGAAAAAAAAAAAAAAAAAAAAAAAAAAAAAAAAAAAAAGACTATTTTGACGAAACGGCGGCCATCTTGGGGCACGTCGGACAAATATAGAGTTAATGTGAGTCCTAATGATAGATTTTTCTTTATATCGCCTTTCACTAGCCAAAGATGGGTAACATCGATCACCTTTAACTTTCCCGTAAAAGAAACACCAAACAAACTAAACTCCACGTTTTACTTTTGCCATCTTTGTCTCAGTATTTTGTCCCTGGATGACCCATAATGCCTTGCGATTCAAGATGGCCATCGTATCGACGAAGGAATCCATTGGCATCTTTCCGCTTAAAAAACTGCTATTATACGTAGTAGATCGATAAATTCTACCTTTGTGAATGTGATGCTTGTAAACATTAGAACTGACGCCACAAACCTCCATCGATACACATTAAAACTGGCACATGCCTCCGGAAACACTTACTTGGCAGATGTATTTTTTTGACAAAAAAWTATAAAATGGCAAAAGAGCATAATCGTTGTTGAATCAAACCGACAGGAAGATACGTCAGAAAAAAGTATTAGACAAGGAAGGATGTTAAAGCAAGTGAATAAAATACGATGACAGAAAGTAGCTCAAATATAATTAACTTACTTTGCTAGATTATAACTTTCAATTAAGGTAAATTATCAGTGGAAATGATCAATGTCAACAGATCAGTGGACGTAAATAAAGTGCCGTTTAAGATTAGAAATCTTAAAAATGGAAAAGAGTTTACTAGAAATAGGCTTTTCAAACTAATATATTGAGATAAGACAAGKGATTAAATTTGAATAGGAAAAGATAAATTAACTAAACAGATGACTACACTGATAATTTTGATGCACAAAAACTAAGAAAACTTGAAATTTAAAGAAGGGGGAAATGAAAGAGACTGACGAATGAAAAGGAAACCGATAGGAAAAAAAGATGAAGGGAACCAWGAAAAGAATGAGCGAAGAAGAATGAGCGAAGAAGCAATTAGATAGAGAAAAAAAGGAAAAAAAGAAGAAAAAAACTGTGAGCATACATACATACATAATAGCTTATTTAAACACGGATGTCTCATCATACAAAATGCTCTTCCTAACAGCCGTGTTAAAACTTATAATAGAATAATAAATATAAATTGTATAACTAGAAATAAATAAAAAATTATATAAATGTATATATATAACTTATAAGATATAAATAATTAGAAATGTCAAAAATATTCAATATTCTGTCAGCAGGGGCACAGTACGACCTCACCTTAGTAAAATTGGTAAAGGGGGAGAGTACCTCCGCGAGCATGCACGGAAAGAAATCTATTTATAAAAAGAGATATCTATAAAAGTATATCTATTTCAAAAAAATTTGTCGAAAACAAAGGCCGCGAAAGGTCCAATACGCGATTAGCTATAGGGGATAGGTCATTATTCAAAGATGCACTAGCTGAGAATATATTTGGGATGACTAATTTTGCTTCWTATGATCATTGTCGTCAAGAAGATCATTGATTAATATCGTTCCGTCTTAAAATAACCTATCTTCTAGTTATTATTTTATATGGCCCGAAAACCTTTAGTGCTATAAAAGGTGTCGTTGATGGCGGTTGGCTGTGCAAAAACGAAGCTTTTAACTAACAAAACATTCAAGAACAAGCCTGTCTGAACACGGATGCGCTAAAATTACCTAAGCTAAAAAAAGCACTGAAATAAATTAATGCAATCTACCTTGTGTACGTCTATAGACTGCGAGAAAATAAAATCTAAAAAAAGAAAGATTGTTCAACRGTGTCATACAATGCTTGTGACATGTTATGAACGCAGTTTACAGAACTRCCTATATCATCTGCTATTCAACCGTTCAATCGGTACAGTTTCCTATTAATATATATTTTAATTTTCCTTTGGGCTATAAGCTTGTTTTGGTTTGTTTTGTCGACCCTGTTATCATACAACCAATTTAGCATTATTATAAAGTATTAGCAGTTAGAGCAGACGAGTCACCCGGCTCTAGTCAAACACGGCATTTGCAGTCAAATCAAATGAGAACTTGAAATTAAAAAAATGTTAGCGCTCAAGGCGCAGGGAAGCGCGATGACATTTGAAAACTTATTGTTTATTTATTTTTTTCAAATGAATTCCTTTGAGAAACTGGATCATATTGAGTGCGGGGGCTCCGGCAGAAAAGCCATTTACCACTACCACCCAAGCAACCCACGCACCGCGAAGAAAAGATGAACCGAACAATGAGAAACGGGGATGCCAAAATATCCATTAATTTTTAAGAAGGATTTCCCAAGATCATGGGATGAAATTWTAGATAGAGGCAGGAAACTTTCGCGAAATGCCATTAAGAATTTGAAGTCGTGATCATGGTGCTTTAGATCGCTCAAATTGATGACCACAAAACTGAAAATCCAAACTGTCCGTTGAGACGGGTAAAAAGTATTTATTTCGCTAGAATGAAAATAAAAGATTTATGATTTTCGGCAAGAGGGAAAATGAAGATGGAATAGAACGGGAAAAAAGAAAATTTATACATGGAAAGAAAATGAAAAAGAAAGGCAGATTTTTCAAAAAAAAAATAAATTAATTATTCATTTTCTATTTTGATTTAACTTTGGCTTGTTTATCTTCTCGTGATTCACGTCACTCAACGTCACACATAACGCGCGCACACGCAAGATACCGTAGATATGTGCATAGTAATTAGAACTGTTGTTTATTCATGTTCTCATGGACGAGGGATATTCTCCTGACAACGAAGGCTGGGGTAGTAGTTCTGATTCATTCGAAGACATAGACAACGTTGCTCTGCTACCTGAGATCAAGAGAAAACCGAATCGAATCAGAAGAAGAAAAGTTCGATTTTTAAGGGACAGAAGCTTTGAGTTCTCTATAAGGAGAATGTGCTCTCGAAGAACTCTCGTTTATACTACCATCACAGCTGTCCTTCTTGTATCAGTAGTTTTGATCTCGATTTTTGTGAAGCCTTCGACCTCGGAAGAATTTGAAGAAACTAAGCCAGAAAAGCGTTCACAATTTCAAGATGAACCAGAGAAGAATCAAGAGAGAAAGGGGAAAAAGTTATATCTAGATAATGAAGGAAAAAAATTCGCTTGGCAAGATATTCGCCTTCCAACCAATTTGGTTCCCCAGAAATACCGCGTCGAGCTTCACCCGAACATTACCACTTTCAAATTCACAGGTACTGTTGATATGCTCCTCAAATGTGTAAAGAACACAGACAAAATATTCTTTCATGCTAAGACTATGGAATTAACGAATATCAAGGTAGCAAAGATCAAGGAAAATGCTGATAAATTAGAAGTTTTGTCGATCAAGAAAATCACTTCAAGCAAAGATCTTGAGATGCATGCGATTCAAGTCAACGATGAACTTCAAGCAGACCAAGAGTATATTGTCTTTGTTCAATTTAAAGCTTCTCTGTCAGAGAAACTTTTTGGATTTTACAAGAGTTCTTACAAGAATAAACGAGGAGAAATAAGGTATTTCTTGTTSAAATAGATCAAATGTTATCAAGATTTCCGCTTAAATTTAAGACCGTCAATCGCGGTCGGCGTTCTGTATTTTTATTTCTGAATAATCACCATTAAGACTCAGATCATACTTTTGTTTTTATTATATCGATTGTTTTGCTTTTGACTTCAAGCTTTAAAGGAAAAGAAAGGTTTTTTAGTCTGTTCTTGAGCGTCATTAAGGTTTTGTGTTTCCAATAACGGGTTTTCGTCTCGGAAAGTTCAAATTTGCTAAAGGAAACTCGAATGATTCTGAAGAATATAAACTTACTAGCAATTTCCTCGGCGCTACGTACTTGACTATCATATTTATAATGACCAAACTTAGAAAAAAATATGTATATTTACTCAAAACAATGACAACACTGTCTACTTGATCTAGCTAACTCAAATACTCCTTCGATGTTGGATTTTAATGCGCCAAATTTCTTTCCACCGTTTGCCTTGACTGACAACTTTTACTTTAAGATTATAAATATCTTTGGAAAAAAATTCCGCTTTAGAAGAATGATTAATTCGTGTGATCTTTTTAAGTTTCCTAATGACAAGATCGTCGGAATAAGGTAGATCGTTTCTCTCCTTTAATCTTGAACTTCATTTAAAAGGACAAATAATTGGTGGTACAAATTTAGCGAGAAATGGAATATTTTGTACTAATTAATTGAAACCCTCTCAGTGTCATTAAAATTATTTTCACCTCAAAAATAAAACAGCGTTTTTCCCCGCTTTCATTATATCCTATAACATATTTTATATTTTCGTCATTTATTCATTTAGTTCAAAAGTATGAAGGCTTTCACTTAAAGAGAGCAAACTTAGATTTTCTTAAAAAAACGAATAAGGTTTTCCGTTTTTTTTTAAGTGAAAATTTTTGTTCAAAATATATATTTAGAATAAGTTAAATTTTAAGTTGCCAGAAGTATTATTTTAGTTTTATGTGTATTAATAACATATTATATTCTTTTTCTTTTTTAACTCATAAATTCTCGCTTGGAATATTTTTCTAATGTGTGATTACGGGTATAGAGTTATATGTCGTGCAACATTTTGTCCTTGCTTCAATCTAGCTAGGTTACTCTTTTGAAGCTCAAATATTCTATTAACATAAGAATTTAGAAGAAACTTAAAAAAATAAGTCAACATCTGTCAACAAGATCTGTGTGAAACACTGCAAGAATAATTGGTTAGTTCTATCGGGCTTTTCATGATTTTTTTCATGCATGGTGGATTGCTGATTAGTTTATGTTAAGGATAACTGCAGAGTTGACACGTAATCCCTGTATTCAAGAAGCAATCTATTTTTGTGATTGGTCAAAGACACCCAATGAATAAATTATCTGTGGCATTATGTCATAAAAAGCACACTTAACCTTCTTACCGCTTACCTTGATTAAAAAAACCTCAGCTTTTAAAAAATTAGATCTGTTTGTAAGCTGTGTAAACAGTATGTCTTTTGGAAATTTCCAAAGGAAATACTTGATACCAAAAGAACGTTTTCTTTATTTTTTTTTAGATAATTGGCAAATGATATTGTATTTTCATATTTGAAATGGTTTTATGTGTCTGTTATTATACCTTGGAGATGGGCAAACAACTAAAAAAATGCACATCAAATCTCGAAATATTTACTAAGTGAATTAAGAAAGTGAAATAGAAGAGAAAGGACACAGTTTAATATTCGCAAAAAAAGATTGAGACCTCGAATTCTTATTGGATTATTCCATATAAGGAACACCAAATCCAAATCAGAATTTGAGTTTTGAATCAGTTATTGTTCTAAATACTGAGTAAAGAATCATAAATTTGAATATTTGAGTAATAAACCCATTAATGCAACCTATGGGGTGAGCGTGGTTTTCTGATAATAATGCGTGTTTTGTAGCTAATAGCATTTTGAAAGAACGATCTTACACTAAAAACAAAAGGTTCAGATATCCAAAAGGATAATTAATCTTGTAAATACCAAGTGCATGACAGACCAATATAGATACTTCCTGAGTTCAGATTTAGAAGAGAAACTTGGGGCACTGCTATGAACATATATTGACGTCAATCTATCCGGTAGGGAATTATTCGTATGCTTAATGGAATAAAATAGCAAAAAACGTGACTTCCCACAAATTGTACATAGTCCTCTTGACAACCGAAAAAGGGCAGTGCGGGGAATTACAATACATCAATCAGAAGACCGGAGTTTTTCGGAAATATCCATTGACATAATTATATGCCTTTTTCCTGGGCAAAAGCTAAGCACTCCTGCATTTGACAATATGACAATTTTAATACTTAAAATTAATTAATTAATTAAAATGTTAAATATGCATTTTGTTTCAATTTGGGTTTCATATTCATTTTGATTTTTTTATTAAAATTAAAATTATATAAAGTGGAAAATCAGTATACATTCGATGCCTAATGTATTTTTAACTCTGAGTATCTTTTTTAATAGGCCATTTCATGGATCCCGTTACTCAACCTCAGCCTTGACAGCTTGTAATTATTCTTTAGAATTTGACTACAGTCCGCAGTAATGAAAGGAATTTACACATCAACAAACAATTGAAACACTTAAAAATTTCACAGGTTGTAGGCAATTCCTAAAGAATATATTACACGCTGACGAGGCTGAGGTTGAGCTGCGGGATCTGTGAAATGGTCTATTGTTATTGGCATAAAATAAATGGTAATATTATTTCAATAATTATATAACGATCACATATTACCAAGCATTATTATTTATATAATATTTTCATTATTTATTTGATATGACATTATTTCTTGATTTGAATTCAAGCCCACTTATTAGCTTAATTCAATTCATAGATGTTACTTTATCTTATTTTTARTTTAATAAATTTTATTCTATTTTTTTAACTTCTTCTATTTTCATTTCATTTTGCTGTTATTTCTATAATTTCTATTATACTTTTACTTTATTATTCTATGTGATTTTTTTTATTTTCACTCCACTTTCTTTTCTTTCATTTTATTCATTTCTGTATTAATCATACCACAAGTTCAAGTGTGTTTCGTTATGCGCGAAAAGCATGAATTTAATAATAGATTCCTTTCTGCACGCACGCACGAGTAGCTTGCCTCGGATTAAGTCGCATTTGTATATAAGTAAGTGA